AGGGTGGTTAGCAGCTGCAGTCTCACGTGCTGGTTAGGGCACCTATTTTCAGTTAAGGCCAGGGCTGACATTTAAGCTATGTACCAGCATGTCTGTTCCAGCTATAAAAATACTGACATATTTTTAAACCACGTAGTAAATAGCGGCAGAGCCTGTGAACCTCATCCTCTACCTTCCACTTACCCACACCTGCTTCTCCCAGCCCCTTCCCATGCTCCCTTTCCATGACCAGCAACTAAAGAGTTAACTCCCAGCACACCTGGTTGGTCCAGCTGATTGGCCCACCTCGTTCATCCTGATTGGTCAGTGGGCAGAACCTGAGCCAGAGCCAATACAAGGACTGTACCTTGACTATCTGCCCTGGTTGCAGCACCCTGCCTCCTTGGATTGGCTAAAGCACAGAAGAGAACTTTTAGAGGACACAGAGCAGCAGATGGCACAGGAAGTGAGGACACTAAGCCTGAAGGACTGGAACCAGGGGCTTTAACTCTGGGCTCATGTGAACTTTGTCTTTGCTTTTTTCTGTGCCTTGGAGCCTACTCTAAGAATCAGACACCTCAGGCTGGAACTGCACATTGCCTGGCTTCTACCTGCACTCCAGCAGCTCGGCAAACATGATTCTTATTTATTTGCTGTGCTGGGGATCAGATTGTGCACGCTGGTCAAGCTCTGTGCAGCTGAACTCCACCCACAGCCTCAAACGTGATTGCTCGAGCCAAGTGTCCACTTCTGCTCCCATCAGCTATGTGTGTAGTAGGAGCGTGGATATCTCAAAGTGCGGGCATGGCTGTTGGGACCGGCTGTCTCAGAGAGGACCCTGGGCCCATGCATGCGGGGACAAGCACCCTGGAAGATTCTCTGGGAGAATCCTGGAATTCTGAGGGCTTTAGGTGTGGGACTGTGACTGCTCCGTGCCATCCATCCCAGGGAGGAGGAGGCGGTCAGAACTCACTGAGGTTTATTTGGATGGTCCTAGGAGCTGGGGAGTTGGTACTGACAAGTGTGAACCCCGGTGAAAGTGGGGCAGGGAAATAAGGTTGGAGGAGCCTCCGCCAGCCCGTACATAATAAACCATTGAGAAGTAAACTTTTCTCTGCAGCTTGCCTAACTGGCCCCCCTCTCTCCAGCTTGGCTTTAATCTGTCCTGTACAGCTTTGTGTACGTCATTCTCCTAAAAAGCGTACACATGGCTCCAGGGCTCCAGTGGCTCACAGTGATGCCTGTGATCCTGTAGCTGCCACCACAGCTCATTACCCTCTTGCTATGTGTCAGTTATTGTGTGAAACTCTGTACTTCCAAAGTGTGGAAAGCCCTGGCAAGCCGCTTTATCGTTTAGTTCCTGGGTTTCCTCATCTGTAAAATGGGGGCAGTAAATAGTACCCACTTCCTAGGAAAATTATGAGGAGCAAATGAATTAGTGCCTGACAAATCCCTTAAAATAGTTCCTGGCATAAATAATTGCTCAGTAAGTGATAATGCTCAGTCATTAAATACTTACTGAGCCCGTCTATGTATCAAATACAGCATAAGCCCCGGGAGTACAACAGTTAGCAAAATCGTCTCCCCTTGCTTGCAGTTCAGAGATGCAGTTAAACATGCAATGGTAACTCAGTGGTTCGCATGCCTTAATGGGGAAGATGTGAGCGGGCAGGACAGCGTTTACGACCTTTTGTTTCTCTCTGTGATTAGAGTGTAATTTCCCTGAGAGGAGGCACTCTGTCATTTTTGGTCACAGCTGTGTTCCCCAGTGTCTAGGACGGACCTGGCCCTGCGTTAACATTTGCCGGCTGAGGGAATGAAGGAGGTGAGACGTTAGTTGCACCTGAAAGATCATGGGCTGACGGGATGGAGTTGGGGAGCGAGGAGAGAGGGGAGTGATGGGGTGTGGACCTCTCTCAGGAGGGCATCAGTTGGTGACCTTGACAAAACTGTTGTCCATTCTGGGTCACCACTTCCACCATGGGAGTGAAAAGCACCTTCCACAGGGCATGCGGTGAGGGCTGGAGGGCGTGCAGTGCAACCCCAGGCCGTACAGACACCTCTCAACGAATGTGTCCGCGTCTCCCTTCCCAATTGTCACGCCACTTGGTATTTCCTATTACTAAAGAGCTACGCGGAGATGGAGAAGGTTCTTCATCATCTTCAGTCATAAATACTCAAAGCCTTCTTCTGAAATTCCCCCACAGGCATATTTACAAAGGATGCTTGAAAAATACAGTGAATGTTTAAATAAAAGTTTTTATTACAGTGGAAGACACATTACCATTGCTCTCCTTCAGAACAGTCCCACTTGCTTTGGACACACTCATCCCATTGTTCGTGCCACTTTCCGAAGCAGTTCTGGAAGTGCTCTTTCACGAGTGTCTTTGCAAGGTGTGATAAAAACAGTACGGTGCATGTTGCTGCTGAGTGCCAACCAGCAGGAAGGCAGACTTGTAAGAACATTGCGGAGTGTCCTCGTGCACCTCGTCACTGCATCTGGCACCGTGAGCTTCTGGCTCTTCCTCAAAGTAAATGATCACAAAAGGTAAATGTTTCTGACGGTTCAGGGAACCGAGGCAGCCGTGATCATGCGGCTGAAGACGCTCACGAAAGAGGACTTCCAGAGCTGCTTAAGAAAGCAGGAAGAATGATGGGATCAGTGTGTTTGAAATAGGGGGGAGAAATGGCGGGGGATTACTGGCAACATGTCCTTATTGTAATAAATTATTTTAAATTTGAACACTGAATTTTCCAGTCATACCCTGTACATCAAGTTCAGCACAGTTGGCTTATAGATCGCTCAGATCACTAAAATAAGCTCCCAAGTGCAGCCCCTGTTTTGCTAAATCCCTTTCCCTTTTAGACCACAGGTCTGTTTTCTGTCCCCATGGTTTTGCCTTCCCCTGAACATCACACAAACGGAACCACACTGCGTGGAGCCCTTGGTGTTTGATGCCCTTCTCTCCGTGTAATGCTTCTGAGACTCCTACCTGCTGTGGCGTGCATCAGTACCTCCTCCCTTCTTATTCTGAGAAGTGTTCTCTTGGGTAGAGGCATCACTTCTTATCCCTTTACTTGCTGGAGGGTGTTTGTCTCCAGTTTGGGGCTATTCTGAGTAATGTGACTATCGGCCGTCATGTACAGGTTTTGGATAGACCGCGTTTGCTTTCACCTAGGACTAGGTCTCAGGTCACAGATCCCCGGGGGATGTTTAAACTTCATACGATGCTGCCAGCTGTATTCCACTGTGATTGTACCATGTTGCACCCCTCCTCTAACTGTAGCACGGTTCAGACGGTATTCTCTTCTCACCAGTACCACCAGATGTCCTGACACTGTCAGTCTCCATTTTCTAAAATTTTAATCATTTTAGTGAGTGTGTGGATTATTCATAAAATTTTAAAGTAGTTTTCTTAGGAGAAACATTCATCGTTGTATAGCATAGAAAATAACATCACTGAGTGTGTCGACGTATTTCCTCACCTGTTTTGTTTTCTGTGTCTGTAACCAGCACATGCATTTCAAGCAGGTGCCAGTACCTGGGTCAGTACACACGTGTTCATGGTGAGTGAGTGGAGGAGGAAAGGTTGGAGTGTCGGGGGCTCTGGGCTGGGATTTAAAGGACTGGTGTTAACTTTGGCAGTGTGGTACGTCACAGAGAAAATGACCTCTGCGCTGGGGAAGAGAAGGAGTTTTGTAGCTAGAACAGAGAAGGGACATGTGGGACCAGAGGCAGGTGAAGGGCCTGGCACGTCTGGCGGGTAGATGAGTTCTGCGTGCCGAGAACACGGTGTGTACGCAGGAGCATACGTGTCGGGGGGGATCACACTAGAGATAACAGTAACAGCAGCACGGAGGCTTGCACTTGCTGCTTACTCTGTGCCAGGTGTTCTCAGATCTCTGCATAGGTTAATCCATTTATTCTTCCCGACAGTCTTATGCTGTAATGATAGTCTCGGCACTATCATTATCTCCGTTTTACAGACAAGGAGACTGAAGCAGAAGAGGATTAAATAACTTGCCCAAAGTCATTGAGCAAGGAAGAATCCAGGCAGTTTATGCTCTGAGATCTATAGCTCAGTCATTGTGGTGTGCTGCCAGGTTGAGAGGGGCGTGTTTACGAGATAGGGAATAGCATGGGCTGCTGTAACAAATAATCCCCCAAATAGGACTTAAAGAAGACGTAAGTGAGAGTGTCTCTGAGGGTGAAGTCCAAGGCCGATAGGGTGTGTTTGTCCTTTCCACACTTGGCTCAAGTTCGGGTTCACGGTGGTCACTTTCAGCTGTCACCCTCCTGCAGGCAGGAGGAGGGGGGAGGGGACCAGGGAGCTAATGCCCATTCCTTTCAAGGGAATGACCCAGAAGCACACCCATCCCGTGGCCAGATCCCAGTCGTACGTCCGCCCCGTGCTGCAAGGGAGAATGGGAAATGTGATCTCCGAAGGGCAGCGTGCTTGCTGCTAAAGCCCCAGGGTTCTGCGAGTTAGCGGAAGGGCAGGTGCTGGTGGGAACCTAGCAGTCTCTACCTCTGCTCCCGCGCTATTCCGTGGACTTGGAACTTTTTGCTGCCGGTGATGAGGAACTGGCGAATGTCTTGTGAGTGGGGATGTTTCATGTCTAGAGTTGGGTTTTACACCAGTCCGGAAGCTTGTGTGGAAAATACGGGGGAGAGGGATACAGGAACAAGGGGGGGGGGTCTGTCAAAGTCACGTGACTGTCACTTGGTTTTGCTGCCTCTGGAGTGCTTGTTGCAGGTGGGAGCCAGGAGGTTGAGTTCTCAGGCGGCCCCGAAGGAAGCGTTACGGGCAGACGCGTGTGTGCAGGGGACAGGACTGGAGCAGTCAGCTGTCTCACTCATGAACCTGTTCAGCACCGTCTGCCCAGCGGTGTCCGGGCTCAGGGCGCCCGTGAAGGTTGCCGGGGCCACGTCCCGCTGGGGGTGAGTTCTGCAGGGACAGAAGTGTGGGTCTTCTGCACGCCAGACGCTGACCTATCTTGTTTGTCTCTCTTGGCCTCAGGACCCCCGGAGCAAACACAAGTTTAAGATCCACACCTACTCCAGCCCCACCTTCTGCGACCACTGCGGGTCGCTGCTGTACGGGCTCATCCACCAGGGGATGAAATGTGACAGTGAGTACCCCGCCTCGGCCCCTTCTGCCCACAGGCCGGACTGACAGGACGGGAGGAGCGGCTTCCTCGGGGTGTGGGGTCCAGGTCTGCAGCGCCGTTGCCCAGGCCCTGGGTGGGGCAGGGACCCCAGTCACCTATTACTGTGTGGTGACCCTTCCTCCCCGAGACATAGCTACTTGCTGAACTTGTGACTCTGCAGGGCTGCCCTTCGGGTCTGCACTGGGCTCAGGGGATGTCAGCTGGGGGTCCTCAGGTATATGTGGCGGGTGAGTGGTTGGGTGGGGCTTGTCTGGGCCTGGTTTCCAGGTTTCTAGGATGGCGGATTGTCCTCTGGGTGGTGGGGTGCCTGGGACCGGTGCTTCATCCTCAGTAGGCTCTCCGGGCCAGCTCCCACGAGGGCCACAGGGTTCCGAGCGCTCCCGGAGGGGAGGCCCACTGGCAGGCTCACTTCCCATCTGCTCATGTCCGCGTTGGACGCAGTGAGGCGCACGCTGGGGTTCAGTCAGTGTGGGAGGGAGGCTTCCGCAGGTGCGGTGCAGGCCGGCACGAACACATGGGGTCCGTTCCTGCAGCTGTAGGGCCCGGCTTCAGTGTGGATGCGTGGGTGGACACGCTCTTCTTGTAGAGAAGACCCGCCTCCCTACAGGGCCCAGGTTTACACAAGAAGAGAGAGAACAGGAGGCTAGGGCGGGCAAAGGCAGGCAGGGCCAGGACTCCTCCCTCGGCCCTGGGGCGCTGAGAGCTGTGCGGGCAGAGGGGCAGGGAGGCTCGGCGCGCTGGTGGCTCCTTGGCCTGTGGGCCTGCCGCGGGCTGGCGGTGGTGGGGCCGGTGCCCTGGCACTTGTGCAGAGACACACAGAGAGACAGAGAGACAGAGACAGGCGAGGGAGGGAGATGGAGGCCAGCACCGGGCGCACGGTGGAGCAGAGCTGTCCCGGGTATGGAGAGGGCAGCGAACTGCACGCAGTGACAGGGGCACGGGGAGAAGGGGGAGGGAGCGCTGGGTGACGCTACAAGGCTGGCGCTTTCTGCCCGCGGGGCTGGGACTCCTTGAACCACACAGAGCCCCCATGTGGGGCCAGCGCCTCTGCCTGCAGGCAGGGCTGGGTGGTGAGCAGCCGCCCAGGCTGGCGCAGGGCCCGGGCTTGCCCTTCCTCCTTGCTCTCTCTCTCCGGGCACCTTCTTCCCCATTTTGTAGCCTGCCGTGTCCTGGAGCTGGGGCGGGCTGAGAAGGAGCTGCTTGGCATCCCCTCCCCGGGCGCCGTTGGGTCTCCCGAATGCAGGCCCGGGGGTGGACCGCGTTCCGCTAGAGAATGCTGCACTCCCGGGTCAGCGTGCTGCAGCTGCACTGCTGCGCAGGACTCCGGGAAGTCAGGCCCGTGGGAGGGAACACACACGCAGAGCGCGGGGCAGGCGTTTTAGGTGCAAAAGCCGCACGAGACAGGGTGAGCCCCGACCCTTCACAGGTGTGCTTCGTTCCCCTCACCTGGGTCACGTTCATTCACGGGCGGACTCCGTGGTCTCCTCGACCTCCTTCCCCAGTTCTCCCCTGTCCCCCAGGGGCTGTGGGGTCCCAGTGGCACCCCTCCTGGGAATGCCCAGCTCGTCCAACGTGATCTCTAAGGGTGGGGGGGGCTGGAAGCGTTCCCCGCAAAGCACAGTTCTAGTTCATTCCCTTCCCGGAGAACCCAGCCCGCTCACACGTGTCCCAGTTCCTGGTGGTCTTAATTAAATGAAATTAAACGGAATGGTGTGCACCTCGACATCTTGGGGCGACATTCCTGCTGGACGTGGTGGGTGGGGCTGGGCTTGCTCTTGGCCTCACCCGATTCTTCCCTCATCACGTGGCCGGTGGCCTTGAGCATTCAGCTTGGTGTCCCGGGCGCAGGGCCTTGGGGGGTGCCGCGGATGGACAGGGTCCACCCCTTTTACCCACCAGGGATGGGGCACACACGGTGGGCCCTTCTGTGAGACCATGGGAAGCGCATCTGTTCTCGGCCCGGCACGGGACAGAACGGAGGGGGCCCCGCCGGCATGGGGGGCAAACGCCCGGCCCCGCCTGAGCCGGCCTGCGCCTCACCGCCTCCCTCTGTGCCCCTGCAGCCTGCATGATGAACGTGCACAAGCGCTGCGTGATGAACGTCCCCAGCCTCTGCGGCACCGACCACACGGAGCGCCGCGGCCGCATCTACATCCAGGCCCACATCGACAGGGAGGTCCTCATCGTGGTCGGTAGGTGCCTGCGACTCCTGCGCCGGCTGCAGGGCTCTCGACCCTGCTTGACCCAGGCATCCGAGGAGGGGAGGGGTGCCACGGGGCGGGGGGGGATCCTGGCACTTACAGCCTGTCCGTGCAAACGTGCACCTTCAAGGCTCAACGCTCAGTTCCACAGGCTGGCTAGGACTCAGGAGACGACCTGAGACCCCTCGACTTCTGATTCCTTCTTAAAACATCTCTGACATATAATTACTGTGTGTATTCACGGGGCATGGTGTACTATTTTGACACAGGCGTACAATGTGTAATGATCAAATGAAGGTAATTAATATGTGCATTGCCTCAAAGGTTGATAATTTCTTTGTGTAGGGAGCATTCAGGGGACTCCTGACTTCCGTAGGATCCTTCCTGCCCTATTTCCCGTTCTTCTGCAGTGTGTGATTCTGTTTCCTGTACTCAGCTAGCAGAGAGGTGATCCTGGCTCTTCCCGAACAGTTTAGTGGGAAGATGGAGCCTTGACGATCAATACTAGATTTAGGAGAATCCCGTATAGTGTCCTAGAGGAGGGTAGCAGGGTTCAATCCAGGGTGCAACCTGGGGCCTTGAAGGTATTTGAAATGTTTTTTCTTAACCCAACAGCGAGATGAGGGGAAGAAAAGAAGGTGGTGTCTGTTGCTGGAATGCACGGCTCAGGCAGACCTGGAATTCGGCTGTGCCGGACAGGCGGATACGCAGCCTTAAGCCGCGGTAAAATCTGCACCAGGCCAGACGGGAATGGAACTAGAACTGTGAGGGAATTCTTTTGCACAGGCGCGTGACACAAGCTGCCTTAGACTTTACATAACTGATCCGTGTGAGCAAGGTTTTATGACTTGCAAGAACAGGTCTGTTTCTGAGGCCCCAGCGAGGTCCAGTGGCTCTGATGTGCTGAGCCCGGGGTTGGGAGGGGCTTCCCTAAGCCGTCTAAAAGTTGAAAATAGATCCCTGTAAAATAGAATTCCTCTTTTAAATTGCAGCATGTAAAGCTCAGTGAGCTGTTAGAAAATGTACGTTTCACCGCATCATTTTTTTCCTCCAAGAGGAAGGCAAAAGGCTGCTTGCTTCTCTGTGGGAGGCTTGGGGTTTCCTGGGGGAGCCCCTGCAGACCCAGGTTCGAAGGAAGCAGCAGCTTCCCCTACAGAACGTTATTCTTGTGGCGCCCAAAGAGCAAAACCGAGACTCTGCTACCATCTAGTGTCCCTCTTCGGGAACTACACTCAAAACGCTACTGCGGATATCCACATACTACATACGTGATACACCCTGGGTTCTCAGTGTTGAGAATCTTACGTGTTACCTCTTTCGATTCTCACAACAGCACTGCAAGATCGCTGCTATATTCATTTCGTAAATGAAGCAGCTGGGGCTCAGAGCAGTATGTGTCTAAGAAGTGTGCTTCCGTTATTAATAATAAAACCATAGCTAACATTTAGTAAAATTTGAATGTGTCAGTCACTTAATGTGTCAAGCACTTAAAGGCAGTATCTTGTTTAATTTTTCAGGTAAGTATCACTACCATTCTGCCCATCGGGAAATGGGCTGGAGGAGTCACACACATCCTCACCTAGATCGTTTTGACTCTTCGGTGCTGTATTATAGATTCAGTTACTATTTTTAGCTTAAGTTTTGCTTCTGTCCGTCCTTCCCCACTATTTCCTTCCTCCCTTTGGGGTTCAGTTCGAGTAGCTGTTTGGGACCTTCTCTGGGGAGGCTCTGTTCTGATGGGGGCACATCCCGTCCAGGTCAGTGTCAGCCTCTTCCCTTTAATCATAGACGTGCCCGGCCTTGGAGTGTTAGGGTTCTCAGGCAATCCCAGGACACATTGATGAACAGGAAGCATTCACATTCTGGTGCCACAGGCCAGGTGGCTTAACGCCAGACATTTATCCTCGCGGTGCTAAGGAGGCTGGAGGTCCGAGGTTAAGGTGTCGGCAGGGTTGGTCTCTTCTGAGGCCTGAGGGAGCCTGTTCCATGCTTCCCTTGGTGGCTGGCAGTCTGCGGCGTCCCTCGGCCTGTGGTTATGTCGCTGCACCCTCTGACTGCGTCCTCACACGAGTTCTTCCCTGGGTGTCTCTGTGCCCAGACCTCTTCTACGGGACACCAGTCTTTGGGCCCCACCCTGACTGGCCCCACTTTCACTTGATTACATTTGCGAAGACGCTAGGTCCAGGTCCAGTTACCTTCACAGGTCCTGCGATAAGGAATTGAACATCTCTTCGTGGGGCCCCCAGCTCCACCCATCGTGGAAGGCAGGAAACTTGGCGCTCCCGTGAAGTCAGGGGCAGAATTTCTGCGTGCTTAGGGCTCTGGACGCAGGGATTAAACAGCTCCCCTGATTCAGGAGCACTTTGTGGTTGGCTGAGTGCTTCGCTGCTGGGTTGCTGGGGGAGGTAGTGTTGCTGTCGTCGGAGGGAGGGGCAACTAGGACCCGGCAAAGCTGAATGCTTGGATCGAGGTCACAGGCGGGGAGGGAGGCGCGCTGGGCACCGTGTCTCCGTGCCCGCCATTCGCAGCCCCTTTGCCAGGCTGGGCCAGCCAGTGTGCAGCATGGTTTTGTTGCTCCATCAGTGACACAAGAATCCTGCAGCTTTGGGTGTTTCTAGAACAGAGACAAGACGGGAGTTTCGGCTCAGATGACTGAGTCGGCTGCTTATGGCAGAGCAGCAGGTGGGAAAGGATGCGAGAGAGCCCCGCAGAGTGTGGCCCCGGCAGGGCTGTGTGGTCCTGGTCCCAGAGGAGCTCTAGACCAGACCTCGAAGCGCTGGCAGAGGTCCGCCTGCAGCCAAGGGAGCCGGGCTGTCCTGCTCCGGGTCAGGCCGTGCTGGAGGATGGCAGCGTCTCTCAAAAAGTATGCATGTGCTTCCAAAACTGCTATACAGATTCAATGCAATTCCCATTCCACTACCATTAGCATACCTCACAGATCTTGAGAAAATATGCCTTAAAGTCATCTGGAACCGGAAGAGACCCAGAATAGCAAAAGCAATCCTGGGCAACAAGGACAAGTCAGGTGGAATCACAATCCCTGACCT